TAGAAGATTACTCTATACGGCATGAATTTCTGTTCAAAGGGAATTTATTATGTATTCCCAAATCATCTTGGAGACAGCAGATAATCAAGGAAGTTCACTGTGGTGGTTTAGCCGCTCATGCAGGAAGAGACAATACTATAGCTCAAGTAAAAGCCAAATTCTTTTGGCCACATTTGAGAAGGGATGTTGCTAAATTTGTGGAACGCTGCTCTGTGTGTCAGCAGTACAAAGGAGGCGGGCAGAACACAGGATTATATATGCCACTACCAGTACTAGAGACAATTTGGGAAGATCTCAGTCTAGACTTCGTGCTGGGATTGCCGCGCACTCGGCGTGGAAATGACTCTATCATGGTGGTCGTGGATAGATTTTCGAAGATGGCGCATTTCATAGCATGTAAGAAGACTTTTGATGCACTAAACATAGCTCAATTGTTTTTTCGTGAAATAGTTCGATTACATGGCATACCCCGCTCTCTAACCTCTGACCGTGACGTCAAGTTTATTAGCCATTTTTGGCTCGAGTTATGGAAACGAATGAACACTAGATTGCAGCTTAGTTCGTCGTATCATCCCCAAACAGACGGACAAACGGAAGTGGTGAACAGAACACTTGGCAACCTATTACGTTGTGTGGTGCAGGAGAATCCGAAGCTGTGGGATGAAGTTCTGGGACAATGTGAATTCGCTTTCAACTCGATGATGAATCGATCGACGGGTAGGTCACCATTTAGTATTGTTTATACTAAAGTACCAAATTCGGTTATTGATCTTGCAGCTATACCGAAGTGCACTAGTCAAGCCGCAGCATCATTAGCAGAACAATTTTCAGACATGTTGGCTAACGTCAGAAATAAGTTGATGGACTCAAACCAGGCTTACAAGCAACAGGCGGACCAAGGTAGAAGAGAGAAGATTTTTAATCCCGGTGATCTCGTGCTAGTCAGGATGAGGAAGGAACGGTTACCTCCTGGCGAGCACTCTAAGCTCACTCGCCGCAAATTTGGTCCATTCACAGTCACAAAACGTATAAACAATAACGCTTATGTTATTGACTTGCCACCTGAATTTCAGACATCCAACACTTTCAATGTGACTGACATCTACTCATATACCCCACCGGATGATAGCGGTCTTCCATTGCTTTCAGAAGAAAGCATGAATTTTCACGGCACGGGCGAATGATGCGGAGCATGTTAACAAGAATATCCTGCGGTTTAGTTTACTACTTTTATAATTACTGTTCTGTTAATATTAGGCTCCACTACTCATTTTCTGTTTTTAGCACAACAAACCATGTGGCCACTTTTTATTCTGTTAGTTGTTTTTAGTCCTTCCTGTGAGAAGGAGTTATTTAGTCTTAGAAGGAGAAAGGTATAGACAGTCTTTGCTTTGGAATAGAAAATTCTGCTTACCAGCAGCTTCTATAGAACTTTCACTGTTCTATTGGTTTGAATCTGTTTTACTTGAAGTTTTCTAGTGCAGGATCCTACACCACATAGTATCCAAAAATACTAGATAAAAACAAGCAAAAAAGGCTAACAACCAAACACAAAAATCCCAATGACCAGTCCCAACTCTCCATAGTGTCCGGTGTGGAATGTGAGGGGATTTGGAGACCCTAAGAAAGTCTCTATGTGTAAAAACCTCTCTAGTCTTTATAACTTGGACATGATTTGTATTTTAGAAGAGAAAGTTAGCTGCACTGTGGTTTCTGTCATCTTGTTTTTTACTACTCACAACATTTTTGTGAATGATGTAGATTTGCAAATAAAAAATTTTGTGGCACCACTATTCACAATAATAATCTTTGGGCCCTTAACAATATTATTATTTTACTGTGGCCTCAATGACCTTGAATCCATTGGTTTTTTCTACACTTGGCACAATCAGAGAAGTGACACACTGATTCATTCGAAGCTTGATCGTATGCAGGTGATTGGTATTTGGTTGGAAGAGTTTCCTTTGTCTTATTATAATGTGGTAGTGCCTTATTTGTCTGATCACAATCCTCTTATTTCTAACCTATCCAACCCTAAAATACTTAATCATATATTTCATTTCAAAAACTATTAACTTAAGCTTCTTCCTTTTTGGGATGTTCAGATATGTATTTTTACCTTCCAGGCCCCTGCCAATCCTATTTCAACTTTTTACAACAAGCTCGGGCTCCTCAAAAAGAAAATTAAAAATGAATGCTGGGTTAACCAAGCCCCACTTATCCTCTATTTATGAGTTAAAGGCTCAGCTAATCAGATGCCTTCATTTTATTGGTTTAGAATTGGCCTCACTAATCTAGTTTTAATATTGAATTCAAATATATTAATATGAAGCTTACTACTTTTAATTCTCACTAGGCCTCCAGGATCATTCAGTTTGCTAAAACCAAATGGCTTTCTAACGGTGAAGACTATTTGTGCTCTTTCTCTATGGTAAGATTAAAATAAGAAAAAATCACAACAATGTTAAAGAGATTTCCTCTCTTCTAGGCTCTTTCAATAGCTAGGATGGCATTTGCAATGCCATAATTCAATATTTCAAAACTCTCTTTAATTTCACTACTTTCAAACTTTGGTTTGGACTTTGAATGGCATTTGATAATGCAATTCTCCTGCTAAAATTTTTGTTTTATTCAAGCATTCTAGCATCCCCAACTTATTAAAGAGAATGTAATCGAGCGATGGTGGTCCGAAGATCGTAGTCATGTGATGGTAACCATAGGACTAGGGGTGTGAATGGACTTTTGGGTCGGGTTTGGGACAATTTTAAAATTGACCCGCCTTCAACTGATGCGATCCAAACCCGACTAGATTAGACAAATTAACTGGTCAGAAATTCATACATGCACCCAACCTGCCCTAACCCAGGTTAACCTGACCAGACTTGCTAACTCGTGGGTGCCAGCAGGACAACACGTGAGAATTGAGCATAAGCCACTAGGCACGATTGTGTGTGTGAGTGTTAGTGAGGGTGTGACCACGAGTGAGGGGGCGAGCATGATTGCATGGATTTTAGTGCTTGTGAGGTTTTCAGTGCGACCATGTGCAATGGGGCTAGCATGGGGACAAGGTAGGCGAGCGTGATGCAGTGTAGGATTGTTGGTTGCAAGACATGGCTCAAATTTGGGTTATTTTCAAGTTTGCAGGTTGAGCTGGACATGACCCAATTTTTTAAAGGGTTCAAGAATTAGGACTCGAACATGATCAATTTATTAAACAAGTCGATTTAAAACCAAATTTTTCCATCGGGTTCGAGTTGGGATTTCAGGGTGTTTTAATAATTGACACCCCTATAAAGGACCATAGTTGGGAATGATGATTGAGAGATAATATTACAATAATGGTAGGTAGGAAATCATAAATGGGTGAGGGTGGGGTGAGACCATAGTCAAGTAATTGTGGATGGGAGATGATAGTTGGGCAATGGTGCTAAAAAGATCATAGCAAGACAACAATGCTAGCGGTCAACAACGAACGCGATATTGTAGTTGGATGATAGTGTTCATGAGATCATTATTGAGTGATAGTGGTAAATCTTGACAAAATCCCAAAACACTCTAACGAATGGACCTCATTAATTCTTTCAATCATAGACCAAAATTTCAGCATTTATGTGTCGTAATATTGTTATAATTTAGTGACAATAGACTCCTTAGATTCATCTCATCAAGACACTCAATTTAACTATAAAATGTAAGATTTGGAAATCATTTTTGTCATACAACTTTATATTCAAAAGTTTCTAATTATTCTCCAAGTACTTGATTTGAGCTCATTTGTAGTCATATCGATTCACATTTAGTGTTGATGAGTTCAATTCATTGAAATGTTTATTACGATTAAAATTTGTTGAAGCTGAAGTATAGATAGTCTTAAATATAATTCTGAAACTTTTCTATTTAAATATTATCTAGATATTCATGTTTGATTAAGTTGATTTTTTTATTAAAAATTTTTAATACAATTACTATCAAAGAAACAATAAAACCTATATAAAATTTATAATCTATAAAATGCATATTCATAATATATGATTAAATATATTTTTCCTCTTATATTTGTAACATAATTTTTTTTCTAACATGATAACTTTTTATCATTTTCTTCTACAAGAACTGATCAACTATCTCCAATAAAAAATAAAAAAATCCAATCGCTTGAGGAAGAAACCAATTCATATCCATAACCACAAGATTAACTAGGCAAACAATCCTTAACCGCACAATCAACAATCACTGAACATCAAGCCATTCACAGCTATAAGAACCGTCAAAATCATTAGCACATCTTGATTGAACTTTATTCCACCCATAATTAGGGCATACATAACTGCAAAAGAGATAGTAACACCAAAATAATATAATTCAAACCGAATTCAATGAACAATGACCAAAGAACGTTAAAATTTTTTTAACCAGTGATTGAACCTTGTTAAATTAAGGCTTCATTTGGGATGATTTTTTTATTTTTACTTCTTTGTAAAGTAGCTTTTTATTACAAATATTTTTAATTCAAAAAATTTTTGTACTAGAAAGCTGCTTTAGAAAATTATGAGAAAGCTGTTCCAAATGAAGCCTAACTGCCTTAAGGTTACCTTTGGGACGACTTTCTTAATCCTTTTTAAAGCAGCTTTTTAGTAGAAAAAATTTATTTATTGTACTAAAAATCAGCTTTAACAAACAATAAGAAAGCAGTTCCACACGAAGCCTAAGTTTATATCTTAGTAAAACCTTTTTCAAACCTTTTCCATATTATGTTCGAAGCCTAAGTTTTAAGTATTCTAAAAAATATAAAATTTTGAAGTTTTCTTCTATCGAAACATTTTCATAATATTTTTAAACAGAAACATACGGAGTGCTGAAGAAAGGTTCAGCGGAGAATTGGTGAAATTTGAACAAACACGCGTCCGTCTCTTCTCTCCTTTCTTCTTCGGCCTTAAGCTTATATAAGGTTTGATAGCCATTAATAGCTACCCAACCAAGCTTTTCCTCTTGCTCTCATAATGATCCCCAAACCAGTCATCACCTTCCTCTACCTCCTCGACCTTATCCAATACACCTTCTCCTTCCTCCTGTATCTCATCAGTCTAAACCCATCCTTTGTTACAGAGCCGACGCCATGGGAGAGCGAGGAGCTCCTATTCTTGTCCCTCGACATCTCCATGGATTCCACTGCCGAGTCTCTCAAAGAAAAGCTTCCTGTTATCGAGTACAAGAGCTTCGTCAAGAAGAAAGGAAAAAATCCGACGACTGAGTGTGCCATTTGCCTTCAGTTCATGGAGGCGAAAGACCACGTTCATGAACTTGGGAACTGTTGCCATGCATTCCACGTGGATTGCATGGACCGGTGGTTGGACCTCGGCCGGTTAAGCTGTCCGCTGTGCCGGACGGCGGTGGTTCCGGCGGAGGCCCGTCGGAGTGGACCGCTTTCGGTTTTGAAGGTTCTTTTGGTTGGGGATAGTTACTGTAATTCACCATAGTCGAATCAGTTTTCTAGGGTTAAGATTACTGCTTTTAGGGTTAACTACACATACTGTAATGGCTTGATTTGTAAATAAAATGGATATTTGATGATTTTTTGCCACAAGTTTTTTAATATTTATTTTTTGAGCTCTGTTCTATTCAATTCAGATAAAAATTAACGTTGAATATTTCGGGCATTATTAGAAAATTTGAATTTTTTTATTAATGATGATGAAAAGTTCTTATGGAAGAATTCTGTGGTGATTTTTTTAATGTCAGAAAATAAATATAAATAATTAAATAAAAAAACAATTTAAGAAAATATTAAGTTGTTATGTGATAATTATAAAATGCAAATTCTGTATTATATAATTGATATATCTTCAAAAATTTATCTTGTTCGGGCACGGATCTCGACGCAAAATTGAGTTAAAAACTTCTTAAATTAAATTCAAAATCATAAGAACTCTTGATTTTAGAAAACTTATAGTCGAATTGAACGTCTCAAAAGAGACGAACCAAACGATACCAAATTTGACTGAATCCAAGCCCAAATGGGACCAAATCGAAGACACTACGGGAAAACACGCGATTACCGTCGGATTTTCCGGCGGAAAATTGTGGCCGGTAATAAACGGCGCAAGCACCGGCGGAATTGTTCGACGAAAATTTTGCGTCAACATTTCCGGCGCAAAATACGCCGTAAATTTACCGACGCCGGTTCCGCCGGCCGATCAAACGGTATAGGGATGTCTGAACCATTTCCGTCGCACGTTACGGCGGAACAATTCCGGCGTACGTTACCGGTGGACATTGCACCGACGTATTTAAACTCAACGAAATATAACCGATGGATGAGACATCGGAAATTATACCGACGTCACTAGCGTCGAGACCTGCGGAACTTCCGCCGGTAAAAGCCTTATTTCCCGAAACCGAACCCCTCTGGCCGTCATTTGTTTCATTCCATTCTCTCACTTCGACTGCTTCGCCCGTCGCCCTCCGTCGCCTTTTAGATGTCGTCGACGGTCACCGGACTTCGCCGTCGACGGTCACCAGACTTCGCCGAGCCTCATTCCTAGTCGCGCACCGCCTCTCTCCTTCCTAGTCGCGCGCCGCCGAGGAGGGTACCGAAGGTATTTGTTTTCATTTTTTTTCCTATTTCGGTTGGATTACATATAGGATTAGCCTTAAGTCCATATCTTTTTGCTATAGTCATGGTTGTTATCACTAGACATTTGCTAGAGGATGTACTTTGGTGCATGCTTTTTGTTGATGAAATTTCCGGCGCAAGATTTGCGCCCGAAATAATTTATCGACGCGACCAAAACCGGCGTATGAATTTCCGCCGAAACGTGCGCCAGAAACTTATAGTTTCGTCGAAATATCTATGTTTTCCGGCGGATTTCGTCCGCCGGTAATATGGGGTTTTCCTGTAGTGAGACCCGAAGTGCATTTGGAAGGTTTAAACTATAAATTGGATAACCAAATGATTTCCAAACATGTCAGGCTTATAATCGAATCAAGCGACTCGACAAGAAGAATCCAAGGAGCCCAAGATCGTCATCGAATTCTGATATCATTAAGATATTTAAACACCCAATAAATAGTACAAAATCAAGAGGATCATCATCATCGACCGTCCATTCAAACTACTCCCAACATACGTTTGATCTCCCTCATATTTATTGGCCATGCCACTATTAGAATATCGTAAATCACTACAGGAAAAACGCCAAACACCGGCGGTTAAGAAGGCAAAACCGGCGGTTTTAAATTTTACCGGCAATTTTTCGGCGGTTTTTAAACCGCCGGAATAATTGGCGTAGGAAACTTTCACCGGCGGCTTATTACCGGCGGTTTAGTTAGGCGGCGATTTTCCGGCAGCGTCTGCCGCCGGTGTCTACCGGAATTGTCTCCCTCTCCCTCTCTTTTCTCTATCTCAATCTCTCTCTTCCTATCTTGCTCTAACCCAAAGTCACAATCAACAAATTAGATCTATCATTACTAAATTAACACTTAATAAATAGAAAATTTAGATCTACCTAAATGATTACAACATTACCTCTTGCATATGTCGAAATTACTACCTAAATCATCCAAAATATTAAAAACTCTTGCAAATGTCTAGTGAGAACAAATAATCAAAGAAAAACGTTAAAGAATACCTTAAATTACTGATTTTTGTTCAACTCACACGAAACCTAAGGCAGCCGGCGGCGTGAGATTCGGAGTGAGATCGACGGCGGCAAGTCACAACAAAGGTTGACCGAGCGAGAGGCGGCCGATGTGGGCTCGGCGGTCGGAGATACTTCATCGGCGGCGACAAACGGAGCGCGATCCAGATGCGGGCGGAGGCGACGGGAGAGCGACCGAAACGAGAGAGAGAAAGAGAGAATAGAAATGAAATGCGAGTTGCGGGTCTGTTCGTTTTATTGCATTTACCGGCGGTCCGGACCGCCGGTACCATTATAACTTATCAGCGGCGGTGCAGCCGTCGTTAAACCGCCGGTTTTATATTAACGTCCGGCAGTTTGCCGGCGGTTTATAGACCGTCGCTAGTACCGACGGCTTTATAGAACAAACCCACCGGTAGGCCGCCGGTAAATGCTGGCGGTTTCGCCGCCGGCCAAACCGCCGTTAAAACCGGCGGTCAATAAACCGCCGGTAATCGGCATTTTTCCTGTAGTGAATAGACCCCTTCATTCCTCATGGAAGAGAAGCAAGCAGAAGAATGAAGAGAGAGAAACTAGAGTTCTCTTGCTACTAGAATCCTCAACCGCCATCAGACCACTGAACATCACCGGACTATCGCTGAGCTTTTGCCTGACCACCGATTGATGCCATATGAAACCCCTTAAATAAAAGAAGATAAACACTTAAACATTGAAACACCTTTTTGTGTAATGGTTGAAATTTCATTTAGAAACTCCGCATATAAGTGTGCTCATCTATGAGTATTTCCGGGATGGGTGACATATTGGCAAGTTACACCATCCGGACAAAACCTCGAGGCTCTTAGGACAAAGTAGATAATATCTAGATAGTTAAAAGCTTGGGCTGTTATACGCCGAACTTCTTCAATGCCACCAATTGACTCAGGACTTCTGCCAGGTCATAGACAGACATCGAACTTCTACTCGATGAGAGACTATGATTTTTTTTATCTTCGTCACTTAAATACGGTCCTTCCAACATACATCGCTAGACAAGGATCCTTTCGACCTCGGTCGCCAGGCTATGGTCATTCTGACCTCTATCACCAGACAACTATCTTTCTAACCACTATCGCCCACCTACTATAACTCTTCCAACCTCAGTTGCCTACTAACAATGGTCCTTCTGACATCCATTGCTAAACAACTATCCTTCCAACCTCTGTTGTCAGACTACGGTCTTTCCGACCCCCGTCACATGTCAACTATGATCTTTCAGACCTTAGTCGCCATACAATGGTCATTCCGACTTTCATCGTCATACAAGTCTTTCAACCTTTCATTGCTTGCCGACTATGATCTTTCTGACCTCCACCTCCCACTAACTACAGTCATTCTTACCTCTGTCACCAGACAACAGTCTTTCTAGCCTCCATTACCCACCGACTATAGTCCTTCTTACCTTCGTCGCCAGAGTACGGTCCTTATGACCTTCATTGGCAAACAATGATATTTCGACCTCTATTGTCCACCGACTACGATCCTTTTGACCACCGTCACCTAACTGTAGTCTTTCCAACCTCCATTGCCCGCCGGCTATGGTCATTTCGACCAAAGGAACATGTTAATATTGATTCTTCTAATTCCCACCAAGTAATGCACTCTATATTATGTATATTTTCTACATAAAGCTAAGGTCTTCCCCCCAAGGACGAGCCTCATTTTTAATCAACTGCAAATACTACTGGATTCATTCAAATTGGGTCAGTCCCTGTGGTTTTTCCCCCTTTTCAAAGGTTTCCATATAAAAACTCTTGTGTCTCTTCTGAACGCTACACCCTCTCAATTATTTGATTGTGTGTTGGATCTTCGTACAATGCTAAAACATTAAATTTTATATATTTTTTTTTATCGCCGTGAATATTCTGGGATGCATCAATATTAATACTCAAATTTATATTTTATTATAAAATAAAGAAATAAAGTCATCTTGTCATTTTTACTAAATTTTTCCATATTAAAAATTTTATTTTATTTGAAAATGTTATCGGCAACTTCTTTCGTGGGCAGAGTTGAGAGAAATTATTACATGTGGAGTTTGGACGCCCCAATTAGAACAGGTCACATCGCTTGCACATTATGTAAAAAATTATATACACGTAATAATTCCGCGCGTGGTCTATTTTGGTATGTATAAATTGATGTGGTCAATTTTAATTGGAATTCTGCACGTAATAATTTCTCCATAATTGATGAAAGCGAGTAGGATATAATATAACAAACAAATTATCCATTTGGTTATTTTCTACAGCACGGAAAAATATTAAGCTCCATTTGGTTTGTTTGTGAATGGCGAATGATTCAACACGCTCAATACTAATTAATAATTAAGCATCGTGGGTGGGCTGTATCCTTTTTTTTTTGGGGGGTGGGCCATTTTTTATTTTCGATATTTATTATATTTTAAAAATATAATTATTTTTAATATCTTATATTAATATTATTTTCCAAACTTAATTCATTTATACATTTTAGTGAAAAAAAAACTTTTTATACTATAAAATTTATGATATTTGATAAAAAATAAAAAGATCATTCTACCCACAAGTAAAAGAATTTAACGATTTTTGTAAATGGGTCATTTTTGAGTAAAAAATGGATTAGTGAGTCAACTCGAACCCGATCCATTTAATAAACGAGTTAGAAAATCCAATCCGATCCCGACACGTTTATTAAAAGATCAATTTGAACCCAAATTATTCGGGTTAGATTCAGATCAGTTTGACGAATCAAATCATTCATTTTAAAATAAAATTCATTTTCTGAACAAATCCACAGCAGATATTTTGACATTGTTAGAA